GATGGAGTTGACGTTAGGACTAAATTCCACCCTAGAAAACATAAGTAGATGAATTCTTAAGGAAAGGGTTCAGTGAAAGATCAGCCTCAACAGAGAGGGAGGGAGGGAGGGGGGGAAGAGTCCCTTCAGTAAGAAGGTGAAACTTGGCAAGCAGCAGCTCTGCTTCCTCTTGCAACCAGCCGGTCTGTCTGAAAAGGCAACTGACGCCAAAACATGAGTTAGAAGAACTGGCCCAAACCCAACTTTTGCTACACTTTATCTATGCAGTTATCAGTTGAACAATTTATATGAGTGGATGAACAATTCTACTGAATGTGAATTGTGAAGGCTTTATTAGCTGCCAGTGAAATAATCACTATGTGACAGGAATGTGGGTGTGACAACAGACTCTAGTGGAAGGGGTGGATTTGGGAGGGACGTACTCAGCTTCATTTCCATTTTTTCCTGCTGACTTTGTCCACTTTTCCAGTCTCTGGTGGCTGTTTTCTCAGCCCTGCTGCTCATTTGGGCCCTGTGCTTCCTCTTTGCCTTGCCTGCTTGGGGCGAAATCTGCTGCTTCACCCTTCCGTGAGATGAAATGCAGGTCAATGCTATCCCCTTTTCTCTCGCACCCTGTTTTCTTCCCAGCCCTGACCTACCATCCCGATCAGTGGCGTAGTAATACATTTTGAGATGCAGGCACTCATCATGACAGCCACAGGGCCATAGCCCCAAGGAAAGCGAAAAGCCCTGGCAGCTCAGCTGCCCCACAAACCAATTCCAGGGGCTTTTCTCTGCACCAGGAGCAGCTCCTTTGCAAAGCGAATGGGTGTTAATTCCCAATCAAGATCAAACCACTCCACATTATCCTACATCACAGCAAGGAACAGTATATTGTTGCTGGAAAAATATACTCCTGCTATTATGAGGACTGCAGCTAAACTCAGAGGGAAAGGGGAAACCTGAGGAGGATGGTGAGCCCTGCTAATGATTTTTTTTACATGCCAGTTTTGCCATTTTCAGTCTCATGGAAGCCTACATACGAAGGACTCCCTTTGTAGATATTTCTGCCCAGTGTATGGTCACCAGGAAAATGAAGTACGCAGTGTTTGGGCAGACCCAGGATGCACAGTCGCTCTCTCAGGGTGGCCAGACATCATTTTTATAGAGGACTGCCGTCAGTGGCAGATCCTCTCTTTGCTGGGATTCTTCCCTGTAAGGGGGCCAACAACCTCCATGCCTATGTTTATTTGAAAATGAAATGCAACTCTGCAGAACTGCTGCAGGTTTCCTAGGTGGGACTGACAGCTCTGCCTTGCTTTCTGCCTTTGAGAGCACCCTGTCCCAGTGCAGCAGCTTCCCTTTTAAAATCATGCTCAAAAACTTGAAAGGGGTGACAAAACTGCCGGCTCAGGGGTGCACCGGGTGTCTCAGAGTACTTTAAAGAATATTCATGGCATCCTCTCAAGCACAGGCTCTTTGCCTGAGCTCTCCAATTGGAGAAGGCCCCTTCTGTCTGCCAGGGAGGGGGACTTTCGCGCAGCTGAGTTGTTGCCCATGGTGGTACTGCTGGCTGCTTCATTGGCTAAGCCCAGCCAGCCAAACATTAAACTGGAAAAGAGGTAGAAAAAGGAGATGACTGAGTGAGAGTGTGTGATTGAAAGAGTGTGGGTGTGCACTTGCTTGCCTGCCAGTTTTTCCTCTGTTTACTTTGAGAAGCCAGCCCAGCACAATCTGAATGTAAACTTCCTTAATTAGAGTAGAGGGAGGTGGAGGGTTATATAATTTATTAATGGAAGGTTGAATGATGAGGATGATATTTTCTCAATCTCCTTTGCCTTCAATCTGGATTGTGCCACAACTCGCTTTCTCTGTTGTTATATATCCTGGAGAAATTGGGTGTGAGTAGGTGAATACCTTGGTTTATGTGGATATTTTTCTGCAAGTGGGCCAGGTTATCCGATTCTCCTTCCTATCCCTGTGCACACTTGGCACACATAATTTCAAAGACAGTTATTCAGTTTCCTTCTCTCTGAAATAAAGGTTGATGTTGAGATGGGAAAACTGTGCTTAAAAGGAGTGCATTGGCATGGCTGCTGCTTCTCATTACAACATGCAAAATAATAGAGTTTGGATACTCTGAGAACTTGCTGCTGTGTCTGACTACAGACTGCATCAACATCATAAGTTGTTTATCGTTGTTATGCCAATATTGGTGTGTCCAACATCACTGCAGTGTAGTCCAAGGTTGTCATCTAGTCAGCTAGTTAGTTGGCCATAGCATAAGGCTAGTATGCTTTTCTGATATAAAATTACTGACTTCATTTTGCCACACTCCCCATTTTTATAACAGCATTTTTCAGAACCATCTTGTGAGATAGGTTAGGCTGTGAGCAGAGACTGGCCCGGATGACATGAGAAATGGGAATCAATTGCCAGTCCTCCTCAGGCAGCCAAATTCCCTAGGCCAGTGCTGGCTGGGTGGCTCTGTCTGTGAGTCTCTGTGTCCTGAGCAGCAGCTGCACCTGAATGAACTACTCTTTGCTTCTTTCTTAAGTGTGCTTCTTTATATTTTCTCTTTCAGTGCACTGGATGCTGCAAATGGGGAAGCCTGTATTTGTACCCGGGATTTCTGCAATGGAAGAAATACAAAGCTTTGGGGTTATGGAAAAGTGTGGAAGATGATTTCCACTGAAGCGGCCTGTGCAACTTGTTTCGGCATTATCATTGTTCCTTGTTGACTGTGCATGGTGGGAAGCTCACTACCCCGAGACCCATGGTGGCCTCAACCTGAATGCATGGCTCTGAAGAGATCATCATTGGCAGTGGCACAGGTACACCACCCACCCCACTGTAACTCATGATCCCCCGTGGAATGGGAGTTGTTTCTGGAACAAAAGGACGTGTGTCCAAAGGAGATTTTCTATATGACTGTGTGGTTCCCTTCACATGTACAGCCTTAAGATTCATGTGTCTCAGTAATTCCTTTCTGTGGTATAGATTGCTGTCTGTTGGGAATTCACAGACTGGTCACCTCCTGCAACCCCTTGGCTCTGGCTCTGCTGACCTGTGGTCCAACATACACATATTGGCTAACAGCTGCTGATAACCATCCTCTACCTGAGCAGCTGCTCCGGTTTGAAGATACTGAGCCATAAGAACTCTAGTCCACCCACAGTTAGCACCTGGACAGCAGACTGAACAGGTGGACACACAGAGAGGCCACCCAATCACAGGTTTCCACATGGGGGAGATAGGTCCTGAGAGGAGAGGAACACATCTGACAAATTTGGGATAGCATCAACCAGGAAGACCTGCTCCCCTGAAGTGCTTAGCACTCAAACCCAATAACAGGGTTTAATTTGTGCCAGGACTCAGTATGGCTCAGGCCCAGCATCTATTTCCACATCTGGGGAGTTAGCCTAGTAACCTGTGCAAGACACCTACATTGTCCATGAGCAGGTGCAAAGTGCCTCCGGCAGCAGATCTGGGGTGTCATGTATTATTTATTTCTGTATTGCTCTTGTAACTCACCTTTTCCTTCTTACAAAAAACCCAGAGCCGCTTACATGGTCCTCCTCCTTGTATCAATCTAACCCTCACAACAACCCTCTGAGGTAGGTTAGGCAGAGAGTTTGTGACTGATCCGAAAATGTCCAGTGAGCTTCATGGCCCAGTGGGACTAAAACCCAGATTTCCTGAGCCACAGGGCAAACACTCTAACCATGACACCTGACTTTCCTTCATTCAAAGAAGACCAAGGATTCAGATGCAAGACAGATGCTTATTTGTGAGCTATTATATTTCCTTTATCAATGAAAGATTACAGGCAGTCCCTACAAACAAGGGGTGGGGAGAAAGCTTTGTACTTTCCTTGCTTTTTCAGATCCGGCCTGTCTTTTTCTATCAATGAAATGCCCCTGAAAGTTCTTGAGCTGTAGAAAAAATGAAAAAAAATGAAAAGAAGCGCGTTGCCCCGACGATATCCCTTATTGAGATCTGAAAGAGCAGCTTTTGAATGGTAGGACCAGTTCCTGCAAATACAAAGTAGTCCGTGGGGCTTGACCTTATGCTTGTATATTTGCACAGGAATCCTATGCAAGTTAACTCAAAAGTCATCAAAGTTCGGGGAGACTTATACCCAAGTAACTAAGTATGGTGCCTCAGCAGTGCAGCCCGAAGTACCCGTATAAGCCTCATACATCTATTGATTTCATATGGCCGGGTGTCCAGACGGGTGCAAAGGAGAGCAGAACGTCCTCTCTTTACACAACAGTAACGAACAGCCTGGCCGTGTTGCGAGGACCAGATCCAAAGGCCACATGCGGGAAGTAGCCGTCATTTTCTTTCTGCCTTTTATATCATGCAAGAGCCGTAAGATGGCCTGAGCCAGACACTCGTCATTAAGAGCATGCCAGATGTTTGAGGACACTATGCATCCAGTTCAGATGCCAAGATCGAGAACAACCTTCTATGGCGATCCTTCTTCCTCCAAGCTGTCCTGCTTCTTTCTCTTTCTAAGGCAGGGACGGCCGGTGCACAAAGAAGGCTCAGGCTATGGCCCAACAGGTAGGGAGGTAGATCACCCGACAGCCACTTCGTAGCGCAGCTGGAAAAAACAGACTTTGCCGCCGCGAAGCGCGTTCCCTTTAAATCTTTCCCGGAGTCGGCCTCGCCCTCAGAATGCTTTCTTTCTTCCCCCATTCCTTTTCCTTTCCTTCTTTCTTTTTTTTATGAATGAAAACGCTCCTCGAAAAAAAACCCTATGTAAATCAAGGCCTCTTTGATTGGCTATATTTCCCCAGATGGGAGGGGGGCGAAATCTTAGACCGTTCATCGCTGCGAGGGGGCGGACTTCGAATGCACTGCTGGGCAACTGCGACCGTTCTGGACTGGGAGGCGTTGAAACATACGAGCGCCATTGGGTGCCTGGTAGGGTAAACAAGCTAAGATTGACAACCGCTGGCAGGGCTGCGGGCCAATAGACACGAGGCGAGGCGGGCTCTGGAGGCCGCTCGGGGGCTCCGACAGCAAGCCGAAGAAGACACAGGGCTTCTAGCGACGCTGCACAGCGGCATCGCGGTAGTTCCATGGGCAGGTGAGGAGGGGCGCAGCCTTCCAGCCTCCAGGGTTCGGGGCCGAAATCCAGACTGGAGCTGCTGAGCAAGGGGGCATAGAGTTGTAGAACCGGGAGGCTGCGGCGACTTGCGGGGATGCAGGCAGGTGCTTGGGGCTGCAAGGTGGCGTGGTGCTCGGGTGAGCTTGGCAGAGACCCTTTGCCACTATGGAGACATTAAGTAGATCGGAGCCTGCAGTTGAATCTCGACGGCTGGAGCGGGATAGGTTTGGGGGATGCAGAAATGCACTGAAGAAGGTGCTACGGCGGCATATGCACAGCCGCGCCGCCACAGGCTGCAGCAGGCACTCGCTCGGCTGGGAGCTGCTGCTTCTTTTTTATGTCTTCTTTCTTTTTGCTGGCTTTTGGGGGGGGGGGGCGAGGGAATGAATGTGGGCGATTTTATGAATGGAGCTCGTTTGTGTGAATGGAGCCTTGAGTGCGGGGGCGGGAGCTGAGGCTCTGCTCGACGTTCTGCACAGGGGGTGGGGGCACTTCTGAAGGCGTTTCATGAATGGAAGCGAGCTGGGAAGTGCGGCTCTTGTTTTTGTGAATGGGGCCCTACGCTGGGGATCTAGTTACACTCTACCTGCTCTTGTTGCTTCCTCTGCCATTCATAAAACTTAGGCCAGATTCGCGCGTGGGGGAGGAGATGGCAATTGTATGGTTTGGAGACGTTAAAGCTTTTCTTGGAGGCGCAAGAGCGGGAGAAGGCGAGTTTGACCAAAGCTGACTTAGCATGTGCGATGTAACATTTGTGAAGATGCTGGTTTCGTTTTTGTTGTTGCTTAAAATTGATCACCCGTTTACTCAAGAACGACCGGCTAAGGGTTCGAGTGCTTTCAGATGTGCGTAGCGTCTAAAATGTTTGTGTTCCCAGTGACATTTAGGACTGATCTGCAACAGTTGGTCTGTTCGGACAGAGCAAGTCAGAGGCGATCTCACCGCTACCATCTTCTCCCTACACCCTACCCCATGTTGGAAAACCGCACATTTTCCTCAGCCCCCCTTTCCTCCCCAAATGCTAATTCAGTATCATGGTCAAATTCAGGAGAAAATTTATTTATGTACTTATTAGAATACAAAACTTTTGCGCACAACTCCACAGTAAATTTACTTTCCCGGGGTGACTGAAAGCGGCCCTTTGCCAGCACTTCTTTTACAACATGCAGGCTGCTCGGAGCAGCAAAAGTTGCGTCAGCAGAACAAGGGACTAAGTGGTTTTCCGTTTCGTGCTGGATTTCGTGTCAGCCTATCATGGAGATTCTGTTGCAGTATGTTTAAGTTTTCGAGTAGATGAGCTAAGATTTCTAAGCCTTTGTCAAAGGCTTATAACAATAGTGCTTGCACATTCTGAAAAGCAATCCCCATTAAAAACAGATGAGTTTGCTTCTCAGTGTATAGTATGTGCAGGCTTTCCAGCTCATCCTGAAGGAATATTCGCTCTCTCCCTAAACTAGAACACTTGAATGTAGATCCCTTTCCTGAAAGCTGATCTCCTTCATAAAGTGGAATTGACTTTCTGTGCACTTGTTGCTATTTATATTTTATCTTTTGACCATGTAGGGAGAAAATGCTCCAAGCAATGCGATCCCTACCTTGTAATCCATGCTGTTCTCCCTGTGTTTGTTCTTAAGTGGTTGTAATTTGTCTTTAGTGATGTCACAGTTGTTTCTATAGTAACTCTGTGACATCATGGTTAAAGGTTGGAGCCATTTGTGTGTTGGCTAAAAGAGATGTGGTGATAGAGTGGCACCTTAACAAATGAATATCATAGCAACTAGATGAACGGAGGGGGAAAATATACTATAATGGGTTCATTTTCCAGAACAGTGTGTTTGTATGTTAAACACCACAGATAATCCTCAAAGCTTGCAGACAGTATTCAAGTGCTATTAGAGCTGAAGTCTCGGTTAAGGTGGCCTAAAGGCAGAACATTCTTTGATTTCTCTCCTTCCTCTTCCCTGCAGTTTAAAATCTGCCACAGCTAGATTCTGAACTCTTCTCATCCTGGAATTGCTCGATGCAAAAAATATTCACGGGAATATTAAAGAAACCACAAGCACAATGGATGGCTTTTATGATCAGCAGGTCCCTTTCATGGTCCCTGGGGTAGGTCTTGTATGCTGCTACCTTTTTATGTAGTTCTGCCTCTATCTTAGTATATGACCCTTTATTTGTTTTATTGTATTGCATTTTTCTCTTCTCCTTTATGTGATGTTCACATTGGCTCTGTACTTCGAAAGCGTGTATTTCATACCTGTTGTGAACCAGCCAGAGAGCTTCAGATCTTGGGCAATATAGAAGAAATCAAGTAAATAAATAAATATCTTTGCCTTTACCAGAAACAGTGCATGGATGAATGTCGAGGGAGGTCATTGAATGACAGAAAAAGGAAGTTTCAAGACACTGACTTGGCTCATGATTCTGAAGGTAGTTCAGAACTCCCCTTCTCATTTAAAAAAAAATCCTGAAAAGCTTATTTGAACCATCACCTTTCTGAACAGTATGTGTGAACTTTTTTGTTGGTGGAAGAAGTGAAAACATTTTAATGGCTTTTCTTATTTCCTTTCAGAATTATTTCAAGATTTGAGTCAGCTGCAAGAGGCTTGGTTAGCTGAAGGTAAATCTCTGTTAAGCACACTATCTGTATCAGCCTTCTCCAATCTGGTGCACTCCAGATGTGTTGGATTACAAAACCCATCGTTCTCTGACAGCATGACCCTTGAAAGATGCAATCCCACATATCTGGAAATCACCAGGCTGTTATCTACAGCCTTGTTGTCCTTTAATATTTCTTGGCTTGGCTGTACTAATCTGCTTTGCCCACTGCTATGAAAGAGTCTCTTCTGTGCCTATTGTTTTTATTGCTGTGGAGCTTGTGATTTGTAACACATGTTACTTGCATGATGTTTGTATTGATTTTAACTTGCGAGCTGCCTTGGGTTTGTCTTTGGATGAAGCAAAGCTGGTTGTATGTTAAACAGATAGAGAAGCTCTAAGCAATGCAACCTTTTTTCTTTTTGTAGCCCAAGTTCCAGATGATGAACAGTTTGTTCCAGATTTTCAGTCTGATAACTGTAAGTCACTCTCTTATTCTTTTGTCTGCCTGCTGTGGAGGCTGCAAATACACTGCAAATTCTGTAGCTGATTTTAGTTGTTCCTTTGGTTTTGCGTGCAAGTTTTGGCTTTGTTAATAAAATATAGTTCTGGTATTTTGCATGAGTTAATGGGACTGGCAGAATTTGGAAGAGATGGGAGCAGATAGAATGGTGTAATATTGGAGCCTCTGTTAACAGCATAACTTTAACTGAAGAACTACAAATATTTATTTGTGTATCTCTGGGGCTACTTATTAACCTTGGTATCTGCAGAACGTTTTCAAGCCCCCATGAATACTTCATAATGTAAAAGATATTAAAATCCATTTGACAGCAAGCACAAGAGCACTCTCTCACCAGCCCTGTGCCTCCCAATTCCCTCAATGACTTTTCTGGCTATTATAACCATAGCTAGCGAAAGCTGTGAAGGACAAAGCTTTGCTGGTGAAACCTGAGCAGCTTTAGGGAGCATTAGTCATTGGCAAGCCAGCAACTCTGAGAAGGCAGCTATAGAAGCACTCCCTCCTTGTGCTGCATTGCCAGGAGAATTCTTCCTTCCCTGCAGTGTTAGGTAGCCAACACCAGGGCCTATTACTCCCCTTTTGGGTGCAGGGAGCTGCTGACACATACATGTTCCCTGCATATTTTAAGCCTGTGGTCTTGGGGCATGAAAAGTGCACTAAAAGCTAGATGGTCGTCTTAAACTTCTCAAAGGAGAACTATCCGCTCAGCCCCCCTCTCCAGACACACGTTTTTGTTGCTAAGCTGTTCTGATTGCTGCAGAATCCATTGAGAAGCAAACATAGCCTGCAGTGGAACGGATTCTTGATTCAAACTCTGTCACAGCATGCAGTGGAGTATTTTGTGCTACAGTAAATGCATGTTAATTATTGCCCTTTGATTACTTTGAAGTGAATGGGAAGCTTGCCATGAAAGCTTCTTCAGACAGACAGCATGTTTTGCTGTGTTCTAGCAGTTGTTCCCCCGTCACCGTTCCCTCCTCCTCCTCTTCCTCAAGATGAAAGGCAGCCTGGAGTAAGAATTTTTCTTTCTGTGTTGACATTCTAGCCCAGCCCTTCCAGTACTCGCTTGGAGCAGTATAAAACTGCAGTCAGGCTGTGTGGGCGGAGGTGTTGTTGGCAGAGGTGTTCGTAAAGCCTCTTGGCAGGTTTTTACAGCTCTGTAACCTGAAGGATTGTGGGAGAAACCAAATGTCTTCTCCTGAGCATTGGGCCTCTGCAGCAAAGCTGGTTGATGCTTCTGTTCCCCTCTTGGGTCAAAGAGGTGTTTCTTTGTGGTTTAAGCATAATGTTGCATTTGGTATGTGTGGCAAGCAAGTCAATGGCAAGAGAAATTCCCGTTGGAAGCTGCATTATATATATATGAATGGTTTCCTGCCTGGAATAGATCTGTTATTCTTACTGCAACATTAACTCTTACTGGCACAAAATGCATCTGTAGATGAAGCAAGTTTGGCTTCGGACAGTCTTTAGAATTTTAGACGACTGAAACTAGTGATTAAACAAAATCTTTGGTCTACAAGCAACAGCAGGAAGGCTAAATGCTAAGTAGATGTGAGAGAGATGCCTTCCAAAACTATTGCCCATCTTCAAAACCTTTTCAAGAGAGGGGATCTGAGCCTTTCCTTGTTTGGAAAGGAAAGTAATCTCGGAAACAAAATCTAGGGACTGAAGCAATCCCTGTGGCCTGTGTAAAAGTTGATAATTAGTTACCAGTATAGCTGTATGAAATAATACAAAGAGAAATGAAAAGGGGGCCTGGCATAGATCGGCTGGATGATGATTCATGGTTTGGATTATTCCTGTGGTTTCTGGCACAGAAATCAACTGTTGCATGACTATCATGTTAATCATAAACATGCTTACTTGAAAGTAAGTTCCATTTCAATGGGTGGGGCTTGGCACCAAGTCAATATGTTTAGGACCGGAGCTGTTAAGGATGCAGTTGATTCTGTTTTTGTATCAAAAAATGTTGTTTCTAGATGTGGGATTAGGGTAAATTGGGGGGAAGTATTGGTGGAGTTTTTTTGATGCTTCCCATTATGTACTTCCATGAACTTGTTTTTCGAATGCCCTTGTAGGCTGAACTTTAAAAGACTGGTTCTTCTGAAAGTTCTACATATCTCCCCACATCTCTGAATTCAGTTTTCTGAGAACAACATGGTAAGAAGCTTTAGGTCAGCCTCACCCAGTGTGGTCCACCTAGATGGGTCAGACTGCAGTTTCCATCCCTTCCAGCCAGCATGGCCTGCTGGTTGGAGATGATATGAGTTGTAGCTTGCATCATCTGCAGGATGGGTTAGGGAAGGGTGCTTTAGGTCAAGGTGCCTCTCTTCTACTGCTTCTTATTTTTTAAAACTTATTAGGCAGTATCAAATGGTATTTTGTCATTCCACAAAGTCAAGAGTGCTAGCAGAGCTCTGTCACCACTTTCTGTTGCACAGATACTTGAGTATTGCACAATCAGTTGTGAGAACGTAACAGCTTACAGAGCCAAACTTTGTTCAGGAATCTCCTCTTGTTCAGAACCTAGTTTCTGATAGTACAACATCATTTGTGCAAGTGGAATGTCACTGATTATTTTTATTATGGAGGCTACTTCCTTAATATTGACCTCTTCCAGATCTTAACTCTGTTTTATGCCACAAACATACTGTTCTTAGCATTTGTTGTACAGCTTCCAGATGATTTTCCATTCATGTCTCGTGTTGCTTCTGTTTTGGAGAGAGAATATATTTCCCTAACTAAATATCCTTATCTAACAGCCAGGATTGTGACTGTGCTCCCACAGTGGATAGTGCTTCTAATAGCATTAGTATTATGACACAACTCCTTCCCTCCTACTCACCCACATATCTGCATCACTTGGGGAACATTTAAACATTCTTTCAATGCTAAATGTTCCTTTTCTGTGCCTATTTTATTGCAGTGTTCCTGTCTGGGTTCTTTCTGATTGTTTTATGGTTTTACCTCTGTAAAGTGAACTGCCCTGGATGAATGCCTGGGAAGGTGAGATGTACATAGAACACAAGCAAGCAGAGGAACAGTTGCATAGCCTCAAAATGGGAGCACCAGGACAGCTACTCCTTTTGAACGTTTTTCTCACCCTATGAGGTTAGCTTCAGAAGCAGACTTCAGTAAATCTGTAATGGTTACAAGGGTTCATAGTCACAACCTTCCATCTGATAAGACCTTGAATAAATAAGCGGGAAGCTTCTTCCTATCCTTAGAAATAGGTCTGTGGATAAAGATAAAGGGCTAGATCAGATAGCAGTATTTTCAGAGCTGAAAGCAGTTTGAAAGAAGGATAGCTGCTCCTGCAGTGTAAATTCATCCTTGCTTTACTTCTGGTAAGCTAAGTTTTCAGATTTCTGTGTTTTAGAACACCCTGCCAAAGTTATTTGACCACAGGTGACAGCAAGCAATGGTTCTATAGATGCCCCATGGACAGCAAAGCACTTCCAAAATCACTTCCAACTCCCTTGTCTACCTCCAAAGAATCAGCAATGTTATACTCCTCTAACATAAATGAAGAAAAGGGCATGATCAGATGTAGACAATGGTATTCTGCTGCTCTTAGCAGCATATTAAAAGTCTACTATGCTGCTGCTTTTGGTGAAAGAGGTTTTTCAGCTGTCAACATTTGTGCTGATCAACTCCATTTCTTTGATGGAGTGTTTGTGAGCACAATCCTATGCATGTTTAGATAGAACAAAGTGCAGAAAAAATGGCTGGCTGAGGAATGGTAGTTGTACGATTTTTTTATTGAGTAAATATAAACAGGCTTGCACCCTTAACTTTTTCAGCTGGAACTGGTTGCTGTAAAAGTCTGTCTGGTGACACAATAGTGTTAAGCTTGATTAGATTTGTAGCTTCCCCAACCTGGTGTTCTCACGCAGATGTTTTGGACTATAACTCCCCAGGCTTTGACCATTGGCCCTCCTGGCCAGGGTTTATGGGTATCCCACTCCAAAACACTGGGAGGGCATCAGGTGGGGAAATTTAGGTTAGAGAACCCTGATTGCCGCTTTAAAGAGATTTTTGTTCGGGTTTAAAAAAAAAAAAAGCACTAAGTTTTAGTGATACTGCAGATTTGGAATCTCCTAAACTGTAACTTTGGAATCCAATTTCAGATTAGTCCTGGGAAATTGGAACCATGCCTGCTGCATCTCACCTTTCTTGTCAGTGTAATTGTACATGTGCATTGTTACAAGACAAAGAATGCATCTGATAAAAATAGGCTATTTTCTGCTCTGGATAGGCTCAGTCTGTGTCCACCCTTTGGAGGATCAGCAATCACAGCATTTCTAAGTAAAGAAGAACAAAGTTCAGGGTCAGAGTGGCTTTGGTTCAGACCAGTATGAGAGACTTGAGGCAGAGAAACCTTGTCCCCTGACCCTCAGTCAATATTTCCACCTTGGTTCTGCAGAGATAAGGAGATAGGGGCATGTATGATGGGCTGATGAGGAAAGAGGTTGTTCTGTGAGAACCTACTTTCTTCCACTATAGTATACCCTGCAGCTAAGTGCTCTGGAATTGAGGTGTACAGCGATCTAATCCAGATCAGCTGGCTTTTCAACTGGCTTTTCATGCATGTAAAGGCACACCATTGCCAAGCAACTGGTTTGTCTGGTCACTTTGAGATTGGTGCTTCAGTAGGGGAACCATACAAGCCTAGAAAATAAGGGCCCTGAAACTAAGCTACTGCTTCTGCAGAAGGGAAAGGGATGGATAAGTGGTTGGTATCTTGCAAGAATGCAGAGAAGCATCCTCTTCTGGAGTCTCAGACAGACCCAGGGTAAGACACTAGTAGCGAACAGCATCTGAAGAGTCCCAGCTTCGGCAAGGTTTGCAAAGAGCTACATATCCTGAAAAGGCACATATGTTACTAATGTTTGCCTTTCTGTTTTCATCCAAATTGGGTAATTTGCTTCATTTGGGCCCTAAGCAATTCTTCTG